AAAGTGTCTGAGAATTATTTGGTCAGTCACTGAAACAGGGGTTGGCAGCATTCTTAACCTGAGGAACATAAATGAGCCTGGGTCCAGCAGACCCATCCCTTACTTTTTTACTACAAATTTGCACTTTAGCATAGTAGTACCCGGCTGTGCATCTCAGTACTGTTCCCTGAAGGATACAGGAAGCAATCCATGTGTTTACCCACTTGGCATGATGAATAGCAAGGAGTATGCATGTGTGCAAAAGTGGCAAAATATGCTCTGCCTAACTGGTTTTGCGTTTGTTTATTCAAGCATCACAGAGGGTCCGACAGACCCATACCACTCCAGGATTTGTTTTTTAAAAAAAAAAGTTTTCTTTTGATTTTTCTGGTAGAAGTAGCCCAGTGCAGTACAGACTTGCAAGTTTTGGAGGAGGTCAAAAGTGGATTATCAGATTACTCATGCATGGATGATGAAAATGATTCATTATGGTAAAAGACGTTTTGTAACAGAAGAGTGCGGTGGGTATATGATGATGATGATGACTTTGATGTTGGCCCTGTGAGCCGCAGTACCTGTGACAGTAAAATGGAGCATGAATTGACTAATGCAGACTCAGGGAAAGAGACCTCCTTGACTCCGATGAGGAAGACGACAGCTATGTGAGTACATATCTGACTAGTCAAAATGTGAAAGGGCCATGCAACCAAATGGAAAGATCCAATGTTAGAACTAGGTCTGGGGGCTGGGGATTTAGTTCAGCGGCACAGTGCCTGCCTGGCAAGCACAAGGTCCTGAGTTCGATCCCCAGTACCAAAAAAAAAAACAAAAAAGCAAAACCCCACAAAAATGTTGATGCTTTTTTATAAAAAATAAATATTGAAATCAGGCGTGGTGGTGCACGCCTATAATCCCAGCACTCAGGAGGCTGAGGCAGGAGGATCGTTGCAAGTTTGAGACCAGCCTGGGCTACAAAGTGAGCGCAAGGCCAGCCTGAACTGCGTAGTGAGACCCTGTTTCGAAAAGACTTAATAAATAAATGAATAAATATTAAAAATTCAACATTTTATTTTTGTGGGTTTTTTCTATGAAATACTCATTGTTTAATAAAACTCATAACGTTAATAATTTATCAATAGAAATAGTCCAAAGAATAAACGTTTATGTGCCTTTATGACAAAATTAGTCTTTGTTTAATTTTTTTTTGTTTTATGACAAAATTAGTCTTATACCCCATCTTTAGTTGAGTCTGCCCAGGCCTAACTCTTAAGAGTTGGTAGTGAGAACTGGGCCTGGTGGTATGCCCTGTAATCCCAGCACTCGGACAGCTGAGGCAGGAGGATCCCTACAAGTTCCTGAGATCAGCCTGAGCTCCATAGTGAGTTCAAAGCCAGCCTATACAGGGAGATCCTGTCTCCTAAAAAAAAGGTGTCCGTGAGAGCCGGGCATGGTGGTTCCACCACTTGGGAGGCTGAGGCATGTTTGAGGCCAGCCTGGGCCCAGTAGCAAGACCTTGTCCAAAAAAAAAAGACTTGGCAGCGAGGATGTTTCTGGAGGCGGAAGATAATCCCACGTGAAAACCGCAGCCCCAAAAGAAGGAAGGGGCGTGGGGGGCACCCACATACCAGCCGTTCCCTCAGCGCGTTTCCTGCTCATGGGTGTCTAGGAGCCCCCCGCTTCGTTCTCTGTTCCCTTGGATGACAGGTGGGACCCAGCCCTGCAGGTCACCCTCACTGCTGAAGGCACCAGCCTCTGGAGACGGCGCCCTCAGCCCAGCCTCGAAACCAAACCCCCTGCCCCTGCTCCCCAGCATTCCCCAAGCTGCTCCTTAGGGTACACCACAGCCCTCCACGTGCTGAATACGGGGTGAAGGGGTGGGTCTGAGGGCACCATGGACGCTCCCACACTTCAGGAGGTAGCCTGGCTCGTGTGGCACAGGGGTTTTTTGTTTTTTTGTGAGGCTTATTTTTATTTTGTGACAGGGTCTCCTTAAGTCACTGAGTTTCCAAGGCCTGGCTTGAATTTGAGATCCTCCTGTCTCAGCCTCTTGGAGTGCCAGGATTCTGGGCATGTGCCACCACACCGGGATGTGGGGGGGCAGTTTTTGAGAGGGGAATTGTGGCAGCAAGAGATACTGGAGGGGTCTGGGTGGCTGTGAACTGGGCCTGAGCCAGGAGCCTGGGACACAAGTGTGGGGGACTGGGGAGCCCTGGGGAGCACTGCGGTGCTGTCACCAGCTGAACAGGCCAGGCTGGGACTTTCTCCTCCGCCCTGTCCGTACCCCAGCCCTGGACAACCCGGCACAGGAAGGGATTTGTAAGGATCCTCATGGCTCCTTTTGAACCCTGCAGCAGCTTCCATCACGTGGGGGGCAGACTGGGAGCTGCGAACGGGAGGCGGCGGGGCAGGGCTGTGGGGGCTGCCTGCTCCCCTTCCAGGGGCCTTGAGCCAGTCAGAGGCCGGGGGGCACCGCTCACGTGGGAGGGGATTTTCACCTGCTCCCCAGCCTCTTAGGAGGAACTGGGGTCCCCCTCTGCCAGAGCTCAGGCCAGCTGCTTCCCTGCGGCCTGGATCCCCACGAGGCTGGTGAACCTGATCTGCCTTCAGCAGGCCCACAGCTCAGGACAGGGCTGCGGGCGAGGATGGGAAGGGAGCGCAGCTGGAGCCGTCCAGTGAGTGGACAGGACGGGATGCCGGGGAGGTGTGGAGCCCTGGCACTCCTGCAGTTCCTCCCCCAGCAGAGTGGCCTTCCAGGTGGGCCGGCTGACTGGCCCATCTTGACCTCCCAAGACTAGGTCTCAGCCAGTGATGTCCCTTGCTGTAATTGAACGCTATGAGCCCAGCACTCGGGAGGCCAAGGCAGGCGGATCACCACACGTTTGAGGCCAACCTGCGCTACGTGATGAGTTGAGGGTCAGCCTGAACTACATATTGAGAGGCGTGCCTGTGAGTCCCAGGGACAGAGCTGGGGGCTGGAAGTTAGATGTGTCTCTGAAAGCCCTGAGACTCAAGGCCATTCTGAGCGGCCACCTGTAGCTCTGCATCCCCTCTGTGATGGGGTGGAAGATGGGCGTGGGCAGAGGAAGGAAGGGGGTGGAGACCCACCTGGACCTCCTGTTTCTTGGGCAGGCAGAGAGGGCTTGTCCCAGCCCGCGTGGGCGGCAGGGCCTTGTCCCCTGAGCCCCATGGCGAGGAGGCTGGGGGTCGCGGGGACAGTCACAGGGTCACAGTGTCACACCGTGCTGCTCTCTGGAGGCCACGAGGGGGCAGAGCCTGTGACAAAGGCCAATAGGAGCTGAACCTGGAGGCCGACTTCCCTGTCCAGCTGTTGTTGCCACTTTGCTAATGATGAAACCAGGCAGAAGCCCGAGGTCGCAGGACGTGGTGGAGCCTGTATTCCTTTGTTCCTTTTTTTGTTTTTGAGGTAGGGTCTCACTGTAGTTCAAGCTGGCCCCAAACTCACTAGGTAGCCCAGACTGGTCTCCTGCTCATGGCGATCCTCCTGCCTCAGCCTCCCGAATGCTGGGATGCTATGTGCCACCGTGCTGCTACGTAGGAGCCAGACTTTCCACGCGGGAGTCTGGCCGGCTGCAGGGTTTTGGGCCAGCTTTGCAAAGCCCCAAAATCCTGTATCAGACTGCAGTTCCAAGCCAACGCCCCTCTGAAAGGGTTGGGTTCTATCCAAACGGGACGATCGCTCCTGCCTGGACAGTGAGATTCAGTACCGGAGACGCTGGAAACCGCTTCAACAAGGAGCCTGGGAACCAGGGACCCGCGCCTCCAGGCTTGGCCTAGTGATCCGTGGGCGCCACCTAGTGGCCTGCTCTCGGTGGTGTTTGGGCAGCCGGAGGGAAAATATCCAAGACCCCAGAAAGGGTGTGGGTTGTGGCCAGCCGCCCCCCCCCCGCCCCCGCTGTCTCGGGGAAGGAGTGCGCCCTCCAAGGGGGGTGGTAAATGTTCCCCACCTCTCACAGCACCTGACAGTGTGTTCCCTTTATTATTTTTGTTTTGTTTGTTTGTTTTCCGGTACTAAGAATCAAACTCATGGCCTTGCGCTTGCCAGGCAGGCGCTGTACCATTGAGCTAAATCCCCAGCCCCTAATTTATCATTTTATGAAATGTTTACCTTTTTTGGTACTAGGGATCAGATCCAGGGCCTTGTGCGTGCTAACAAGCACGGACACTGAGCTACGTCTCCAGCTGCTTTTTTTTTTTTTTGGAGCCGGGTATGATCACCCTGAGTTTGAGGCCAGCTGGGGCTACATAGAGACAGGGTCTCATTTTGTAGGTAGGGCTGGCCTTGAACTCAATGCAAGCCTTCTGCCTCAGCCTCCTCAGTGCTGGGATTGAGATAGGGTCTCACTAAGTTGCTCAGGCTGGGCTTGAATTTGTGATCTGACGGCCTCAGCCTCTCAGAGTGCTGCGGTTACAGGCTGCACCACCAGGCTCGGCTTCAGGATTACCTAAGGCTGTGCCCAGCCCGGACACCAGGCCGCCCCAACACCGTCCCTCCCTTGAGTGTGGACCCGGGAGGCTGACAGCCATAGCTCTGACCTGGGGCCCTGTGCTACGCCTGTCTCCTGCGTCTGTCCAGCCCTGCGGTGGGAGTGGGGAGGAGGCAGGAAATCCCGGGAAGAGGGCGGGACAGGGGCAGGGGTGTTCTCTGGTAGGTGTGGGTCCCCTAACTGTGCCTTTACTTTGTTCCCTGCTGTTTGCCTGCACGGTTCCACGTTCATGCCGAGTGTGGGCTCAGGACACATGCCTGTAATTTCAGCACCTCAGGAGGCTGAAACAGGAGGATCTCAAGTTCAAGGTCGGCCCAAGCAATTTAGGGAAACCCTATCTAAAGATTAAAAAAAAGGGCTGGTGTGTGGCTCAGTGACAGTGGTCCTGGGTTTGATCCCCCCTTTGGGGGGGAAAAAAAGGTAAACCAAGGGCAAACCTGAGTGCTGGGATTACAGGCTTCTGCCACTGTGTGTGTGTGTGTGTGTGTGTTGGATAACAGGATCAGATCCAGGGCCTTTGCACAGAGCCACAGCCCTAGTCTTTTTAATGTTTTGACACAGGGTGGGATCCTCCTGCCTCAGCCTCCACACTCCCTCCGCACCATGATGGCACGTCCAGCCTCTTGCCAGTGGCTGCTGCACTGTGCAGGGACAGAGGTGGCAAGGTCGGTGTCCAGGCGGAAGCAGAGGACTTGGTGGCATGGCTGCCGCAAGCTCCACTGCTACTTCCAGCCCTGGTCTGATCTGCTCCCAGCCTGGTTTCCTGGTCTCCACGTGGGTTCTGCTTCTCTGTTATCTTCTTTCCTGCTGGCAGTTATCTTCTTTCTTTACCCTGGGTCAGCTTCCGCCATTTCCATGAAGAACCCCCAGTGCAGAGCTGTGAGAAAACTCGGGGCCCTGTCTCTGCCACACCGGGTGTCCCGGGCTACTGTGTGGAAGGAGGGACCGAGTGTGCCACCTAATGGCAAGCGCCCTCAGCCAGGCCCGGAGGAGGGCTGTGCTGTAAGGGGACTAGGATCACCATAAAGACCCACCCACACATCGTAATCCCAGCGCTCTGGGAGGCCGAGGCAGGAGGATCACATATTTGATCTCAGTCTGGGCAACTTGGTGATTTTGCCTCAAAATAAACTTTTTGAGACACGATTTCACTATGTATGAAGTTTGAGGCCCAGGCTGGCCTCAAACTCGAAGGGATCCTCCTGCCTCAGCTTCCTGAGTAATAGTGTTATAGGCATGCTCCACCAGTTTTTCTTTTTTTACCTTTTTAAAGACAGGGTATCATTAAGTTGCTCAAACTAGGGCCAAACTTGTAATCCTCCTGCCTCAGCCACCAGGGCGCTGGGATCATAGCCATCCTACTTCTTGATGAACTGACGGTGGACTGTCGATGACTTATGCCCCTTCAGAATGTCCAGGCTGGAATCCCAACAGGGCCCAAACTGAGAGGAGCTCTGGTGTGTCCACGTCTGTCAGATGAGGGCAACTCCCCTCATCACTTGATTGTCAGTCGCCAGCCTCAACCACCTCGGCTTCCTAAACCTCAGGTGACCACGTGAATAGCACCTGGCTTCCAGGGCTGCGCTCTTGCCGTGATGTGAGCATGCGCGGGGAAGGGCGGTGGGTTCTCATAGCGTGCGCAGGTTTGTCTCAAATAAATACAACCTGAGAACATCCCTTTCAGCGCCCTCAACCGGCGCCCCCCAAAAAAGCAGCTGCTGCAGGTTTTGCAGCTTCTGTTCAGGCGTCAGCCCTGGGCTGTGATACCCTGGGCCGCGCCCGAATGGAACCCGGGTTCCTCTCTCTTCCGATCCCTATGGTTTTGATAGTTTGTCCCCTACGGGTGGAGACGCCGGCAGTTTGGTCCCAGTGTAGCGGTTTGAGGTGGCAAGGTGGAGACTGGCGGAAAATTAAGCCATGGGGTCTGCCAGGAGTGGAAGGGTTCCGCTGGACTGCTTATAAAAACGGAGCCAGGCGCCTCCCCCCACCCCCCCACGCTGCCGCTTTTTTTTTGTCTTTTTGAGACAGGGCCTTGCTATGCAGTTCAGGCTGGCCTTGAACTCAACAGTGATTCTCCTGCCTCAGCCTCCTGAGACCTCCGTGTCTCTTGCTTAATTTCTGAGTGCTGGGGACTGAACCCAGGGCTTTTGCACTGAGCTATAACTCAGTCCCCATCCTTTTTTACAGTTTTGAGATAGGGTCTCACTAAGTCATTAAGTTGCGCAGGCTAGGACTAACTAGACTCCCAGTCCTCCTGCCTTAACCTCCCAAGTGCTGGGACTGCAGTGTGCACCACGATGGCCAGTTTGTCTTGTGCCCCTTGTCTTGCACCCCGTTACCCCACTCACGTGTCCCTGCCCTGTGTGCTGCCATATGCCACTCGGGCCCAGCAGAGCCAGGCAGGTGCAGGCACCATGCTCTTGGCCCTTGAGAAGGTGCACTGCATAAACCTCTTTTCTTTATATCATTCCATGCCCTCTTGTATCTTGTTATAGCAGCAGAAAACTCACCAGCATAGCCCCCAGCAGGAGGCTGCCAGTCCCGAAGCAGCCTATACCCTCTGCAGCCCAGAGAGGGGCGCACAGCACCCCACAGCCCTGCATCCAGTCCTTGCACACAGCTTTTCCTCTGGTGCCAGGTACCCGCCCAGGCCCATTCCCAGTGGGTACAGAAAGGGTGACTTCTGAGCCCAGGACGGGGAGACATGGGCCCAGCTCGTAAGTGGGTGGGAAGCCCCTGAAGTTATTCCCGAGGGAGCAGGTGGCTGGGTCTCGCCCACATCGTCTCCCTTTGCAGCGGACACTCAGCAGGTGGAGTCTGTGTTCTCCTGGTCAGAGCCTGGCTCCTTGTGGTCTGGGGACTCCTGGATCAGAGCCAGAAAGCCTGGTCACCCTTGTGCTGTCCCCACGGCCACAGCCAGGGCCGCATCTCCCCTGCTGCCTCCACCACCAGGGGGCACTGCCACGCCACGCTGTCCTAGGCCTCCCCTGTCCTTTGGCGCCCATCCCTGGGTCACTCCCTCTTACCAGACCGAGGCTCCGCCGCAGGGTGGCATAGAAGCGCAGCACCCGGGCGTCACAGTGGACCACCAAAGGGTCAAAGTCCAACACCCGCAGGCCCTGCAGGCTGCGGGCCCGGGAGAGGGCCACATAGGCCTGGCCGCTGGCAAACACCCGGCCCAGGGAGATCTCCACGCAGTCCAGAGACATGCCCTGGGGGCAGGGACAGGACAGAGCCAGCTCAGCCTGAGGTCCCCGCATCCGAGAGCCTGATCCTTCTTCGCCAGCCCAGCCCCTGACCCTGGATCTCTTCCTCTCATCCAGAGCTTTCAGCAGAGACCCTTACAGCAGATAGGTCTCAATACAAAGGGGCTGGGGCAAGCATTGAGGGGTGGGGCAGGTAGGTTGCAAATTCCAGGTCAGCCAGGGCTATACAGTGAGTTCAAGGCCCACCTCACTACAGAGTGAGGCCCTGTATCAAAAAAAAAAAAACCACAAGAGTGCCGGGCACGGTGGCACACACCTGTAATCCCAGCACTCAGGAGGCTGAGGCAGGAGGATCACCATGAATTCACCAGTCTGGACTACATAGTGAGACCCTGTCTCATAAAACCAAACAGACACAAACAAAGACAAAAGAAAGGGAGGGAAAGAAAGAGGAGCCAGGCATGGCCTGGATTCCAGCACCTGGGAGGTGAGACATCTCAGGAGAGGGGGCGTGGCAGGAAGCCTGGCTTATCTGAGGCAGGGTGTGGGTAGCTCTTCTAGTCCTGATCTGGAACTCCCCACCCCCCAGCGCCTCAGGCCCCACCCAGGCCTGTGCTGTACCCGCCTGGTGGCTACCTGGCTCTTGTGGATGGACAGTGCCCAGGCCAGCTGGAGGGGCAGCTGCTGCCGGCTGAGGACCTGGCCCCCTGTGGCCTGCACCGTCCAGCGGTCCGTGCGGATGACCTCGGTGACACCGCACAGGAAGCGTACTTGGGGCAGCCCTGGAGAAGGACGGGGCGGCGCCACCTCAGCTCGGCACCATGGGGAGCACAGCGCGGGAGCTTCGGGGTCATCCTGCCACAGCCAGTGTGCCCGCCTTGCCCGGCACTCACCTCTGCCCTCGGCTTCGAACCCCACCACCACCCCTCGGGCGCCGTTCACCAGGCCTCGAGACACCGCCAGGTTCTTCACCAGCATCACCTACGGGGTGAGCAGAGGAGAGTGGGGGGCCCTGCCTACCCTGCTCATCTCTAGACCCCCAGCCTCCACTGATTGAGGACCGGGACTGTCATATAGGGGACCTAGGCCACGATCCATGGCTTCCCCTCCCGTCACAGGAAATGGCATTTGTTCAGTGGGCCTCAGAAGGAGGTGGTAAAGCCAGGAAGGTGACCTACATCACAAGGCTTTGAAAAGGTCAGAACTAAATTGGGCATGGTGACGCACGCCTGTAATCCCAGCGCTTGGGAGGCTGAGGCAGGACGATCACTGTAAATTGGAAGCCACCCTGGGTTACATAGTGAGATCAAGGCCAGCCTGAACTACATGGTGAGACCCTGCCTCCAAAAACTGAAGAAAAGAAAGATCTGCCATGGGGTCACAAACCTCAAGAGGGGGCCCCTCATTCCTGCCACCCCTTGCTCAGCCACAGGGCCTACACTTGCCCCTTGGGTGCCCTCTGGACCCTGGGCAAAGTCTCCCGTTCAGAGCTTCCACTGTGGGAGGAACAGGACCCAACCATCTCTAAGCCGCCTACTGAGGACAGCCGAGGGAAGAGGGACTTCACTCCTATTTATTTTGTGGTACTGGGGATTGAACCCAGTGCTGTTGCTGTGAGCTACATCCCCGGCCCTTTTTAAACATTTTTTTATTTTGAGAGGGTCTCACTACATTGCCCCTGGCTGTGCTTGAATTTGCAATCCTCCTGCCTCAGCCTCCCGGAGTGCTGGGATTGCAGCACTCCCTGTTTTAGAGACAAGGCACTGCGCTGGAGGGAGAGAAAGGCTGCTCTGGTCCAGCCCTGCCTGCGGCTCACCTGCGCGCCCAGCTTTAGCTGCAGAAGCCGGCTCACGGGACACTGGGCGTCCAGAGCCCGAGCGAGCTCAGGGTGGCTGTCTAGAGCCTCGAAGCTGTGCACCTCCCCTGGCAACAGTAGGAAAATGGGTTATGAGTTGAGACTGGCTGGGCTTCCAAAATCGCAGGTCAGTCTGGGCACGGGGGACACGCGGGGCTGGGATCCGCACTGCGCCTCTCAGGGTCTCCACTGCATTTGCAAACCGAACAGCCGTGGCGGACACAGAGGCTGCCCGGCCCTGGCCCGCTGCTCACCTGGCAGCTCCTGGAGCCGCCGTTCATTGGTGAGCACCACGTCGTCCTGGTGGGTGCAGAGCCTCGTGGCCACAACGCCGTCTCGCCCCACCTTGTGGGCAGCTGTGGCTCTGAGCTGCCGGGTCACCTCATCCGAGCACCTGTAGGGCTGGGCTGTCAGGGCACAGCTCGCTGAACCCCGGGGACCGCAGGGGACACGCGCAGGGCGGCCCACACAGCTGGCCTGGGGTCGGGGAAAGAGCAGCAGACACAGACGCACTGCTCCAGGCTGGCCTTGAACATGCAGCGATCCTAAGCCTCCTGCCTCAGCCCAGAGTGCTGGGATCACAGACGTGCCACCGCGCCCAGCTAAGATTTTAACTCAGACTGGGGTTCAGATCTCAGCATGGCCACCACTTTGGGTGTGCCTCCTTGGCCCCTACTTTCTACGTCTGAAATGGGGTGCTCACTGTTCTAACCCGTCCTGTGTGTCCTCCGTGCATCCTTCCTTCCTCCTCCTAACCTACTCCGCGCTGCCCTGCGCTGTGTGACCCAGACTCAAACCTCAGGGGGAGGCTGGATTGATCCCAGGGACCTCTCTGGAGCCTGGAAGCTCTTCACTACCACGTGTCTTCGGGTGCCCAGGACCCCCCAAGGCTCCCCTTCCCTGAGCCCTGTGTTCCCCTTGCACCCATGCCGGGACCCTGCCTGGTGGTCCCGCCGGAGCTCCAGCCTCACCTGCCCAGCCTCACAGCCTGCAGCAGGGAGACGAAGGCAGGGTCTGCCTGCCTCCACACCTCAGTCAGCTCCAGGGTCACAGGCACACACCTCCTCCAGCTCTTGGCCTGGCAGGGACGGGGATGGGGTTCAGGGAGGGCACAGAATGCCAGGACGGGGGGGGGGCAGGGCCAGGGATGAGCGGTACCTGGAAGCAGAAGCGAGGGGGCTGGGAGCCCTTGGTGACCGGGGGCAGCTGCAGGAAGTCCCCACAGATGATGAGCTGGACCCCCCCGAAGGGCTTCTCTTGCTGCCGGACAGCTCTGCGGGGAGCGAGGGCAGCTGCCGGGGCTCAGATGCCGTTCCTCCTGGGGGACCCCAGATGCCAGCCTCCGTCACTGCCCTCCCGGTGCACACTCACCTGGCCACGGCCTCCAGCTTATCAAACAGGTCCGCCTCCACCATGGAGATCTCGTCAATAACCAGCCGCTGGCAGTTCAACCATCCCTGCCGCACACCCGGCCGCTGGGCCAGAGCCACGCATTGCGCCAGGGGGGCCCGGCCCGAGCCAATGCCTGTGAACGACACCATTCAGCCCAGCCCGCGGCCAACCCTGACCTCCCCTCCCACAGGCCTGGCTTTTTTTTTTTTTGAGACAGGATCTGGCTATGTAGTTCCGGCTGGCCTCAAACTTACACAGATCCTTCCGCCTCAGCCTCTCAAGTGCTGGAATTGCAGGTGTACGCCACCATGCCCAGCTATTTCTTCCCCCGGGCTTGCCCTTAGCCCAAGCCCCAGGGCTCGTACTCACCCGCAAAGGCGTGGAGGGTGGTGCCCCCAATGTGGCAGGCTGCCACCCCTGTGCTGGCAGTGGCCACGGTCCCCGCAGGGGGCAGTGAGCCCAGGATGCGCTTCAGCAGGTAGGACTTCCCAGTCCCTGGGCAGGGGGCAAAGTCAGGGCTGCCGGTGCCTTTGCCCCAAGCTGCACATCCCCAGCCCCTCTCTGACCCCTACCTGCACTCCCGGTAAAGAAGACGCTCTGGCCTTTCAGGACGAGCCCCAGCACGGCAGCCTGCTCCTCCGACAGCTGTGGCTTGCTGGGGGGCAGGCTCAGCCTCTTCACCGGCCGCGGCCATCTGGGGGCTCCCTGACAGGGAGCAGGGCTGTCTCAGCCCCCTGGCCTGCACACAGCCCTGGCAGCCCTCTGTCTGTCCTCTGTTGGCCCTGCTCCCTGGGCAGCAGCCTGGTTCACCCGGAGACACTGCCAGCGCCTGCTGGGGTCCAGGTGTCTGCTTGGACCCTGCAGACCCGCAGTGGGTGGGTCCGGATCCTTCCTCAGCTTCCTCCCCTGGGTTCCCTGACCTGTCGGCCCTGTCGCCCACTTTCCTTGTCACTTCTCTTTCCATCACAAACCTTGTCTTGGCGGGTGCGGTGGCGCACACCTGTAATCCCAGCACTCGGGAGGCTGAAGCAGGAGGATCACAACTCTGAGCCCAACCTGGGCTTTATGGAACCTGCAGACCCTCATTTCCCCTTCTCCCTTGGCAGCATGGGGATTATAAAAGGAGAAGGAAGCACAGGCGACTCCCACGCCCCTGTCACACTCAGACGTCCCATGGCATCTCTGCCCCACTTGGCTTCTTGCACTTCAATGGCGCCCCCTTCCGTCCTCACCGTGCTGGGCTCGGCCGGGGCCGGGCGTTCCGCCGGCGGCTTTTGGGGAGCGCGCGTGGGGGCCGCGCGCCGCAGCTCCTCGGGCTGCACCGGGCTGATGGAGAGGAAGCCGCC